ACACACACATGAGACACACACACACACATGAGACACACACACATGACACACACACACACATGAGACACACACACACACGAGACACACACACATGAGACACACACACACACACACACACGAGAACACACACACACACACACATGAGACACACACACACACACACACACACACACACATGAGACACACACACACACACACACACACACACGAGACACACACACATGAGCACACACACACACACACACATGAGACACACACACACATGAGACACACACACACACACACACACACACACACACACACACACATGAGAGACACACACACATGAGACACACACACACACATGAGACACACACACACATGAGACACACACACACACGAGACACACACACACATGAGACACACACACACACACATGAGACACACACACACACGAGACACACACACACATGAGACACACACACACATGAGACACACACACACACGAGACACACACACATGAGACACACACACATGAGACACACACACACACACGAGACACACACACATGAGACACACACACATGAGACACACACACACATGACACACACACACATGACACACACACACACACGAGACACACACACTCACCGAAGCTGAGGAGCAGCAGGAGCAGGACGAGTCCTGACGTGGTCCTCATCTTCTCCTGGAGCAGAGCAGCTCCTGTTTGGACAAAAACAAATTACACCAACTTCACCTGAAACAATTTTATTCAAAAAACTAAAAAATTTAGGTTTTGCTACGTGTCGCTGGAGTCAGGTCAGACCCTTGAGTCATGGATCTGCCTCAGGTTTACTCCTACAGACCAACAGAAAACTCAACTCTACTGATGTCGACGTGACCTCGTTTCACCAGGACTTCAGAACCGTGTCAATTGTTGTGGGTTCTATGTTCTAACTCACACCGGCACAGCCGAACCAAACCACGACCCCATGACGTCATCACGGCGTTTGTTTACATGTGGAGCAGAGCGAGCGCTTCAGCCGAGAAAATAAATCCAGCGGCACAAATATTTATTGAACTGAGGACAGGAGGAGTGAGGACAGGAGGAGTGAGGACAGGAGGACAGAGGACAGGAGGAGTGAGGACAGAGGACAGACAGAGGACAGAGAGGACAGGAGGAGGGAGGACAGGAGGAGGAGGACAGAGACAGAGGACAGAGAGGACAGGAGTGAGGACAGAGGACAGGAGGACAGAGGAGGAGGAGACGGAGGAGAAGAGGACAGAGGACAGAGGACAGGAGGAGGAGGACAGAGGACAGAGACAGGAGGAGTGAGGACAGGGAGAGAGGACAGGAGGAGTGAGGACAGAGAGGACAGGGAGGAGTGAGGACAGAGGACAGAGGACAGGAGGAGTGAGGACAGGAGGACAGGAGGACAGAGGAGTGAGGACAGGAGGAGAGGAGGAGGAGTGAGGACAGGAGGACAGAGGACAGGGAGTGAGGAGACAGAGGAGTGAGGACAGAGGACGAGGACAGGAGGAGTGAGGACAGGAGGACAGAGGACAGGAGGAGTGAGGAGAGGAGGACAGGAAGGAGGAGAGGACAGGACAGAGGACAGGAGGAGTGAGGACAGGAGGACAGAGGACAGGAGGAGTGAGGACAGGAGAGAGGACAGGAGAGGAGGACAGGAGGACAGGAGGAGTGGAGGACAGAGGACAGGAGGAGTGAGGACAAGAGGACAGAGGACAGGAGGAGTGAGGACAGGAGGACAGAGGACAGGAGGAGTGAGGAGGACAGAGGACAGAGGACAGGAGGAGTGAGGACAAGAGGACAGAGGACAGGAGGAGTGAGGACAGGAGGACAGGAGGACAGAGGAGAGGACAGGAGGAGTGAGGACAGGAGTGAGGACAGGAGAGGACAGGAGGAGTGAGGACAGGAGGAGGACAGGACAGAGGACAGGAGGAGTGAGAGGACAGGAGGACAGAGGACAGGAGGAGAGAGGACAGGAGGACAGAGGACAGGACGAGAGAGGACAGGAGGACAGAGGACAGGACAGGAGTGAGAGGACAGGAGGACAGAGAGGACAGGGAGGAGTGAGGACAGGAGGACAGAGGACAGGAGGAGTGAGGACAGGACAGGAGGACAGAGGACAGGAGGAGTGAGGACAGGAGGACAGAGGACAGGAGGAGTGAGGACAAGAGGACAGAGGACAGGAGGAGTGAGGACAGGAGGAGGACAGGAGGAGGAGTGAGGACACAGAGGACAGAGGACAGAGGACAGGAGGAGTGAGGACAGGAGGAGAGGACAGAGGACAGGAGGAGTGAGGACAGGAGGACAGAGGACAGGAGGAGTGAGGACAAGAGGACAGAGGACAGGAGGAGGTGAGGACAGGAGGACAGAGGACAGGAGGAGTGAGGACAGGAGAGAGGACAGGAGGAGTGAGGACAGGAGGACAGAGGACAAGAGGACAGAGGACAGGAGGAGTGAGGACAGGAGGACAGGAGAGAGGACAGGAGGAGT